TAATTAGCAGAGTAACGCTTGATTAATTAAGAAATTTTCTTACCTTTTTCTTAATGCTTTATTGTAGCAAAATTATAATTAAATAGTTAAAAGTTAAAAAGGCGATTGGGTAGTGAAAGGGGTAACGAAGAGTAACTTCCCCCTTGGTAGGACTCTCCACTTCCATTTTCATTCCAGGCTCGATTGGGGGAGTCAAGATTTTGTTCTCCCCAATTGACACAGTTGTTAGTTCTGTTGTCTTGTTGCCTGAGTTTGAATTCCCTACCAGGGGTGAGATTATAATAATTAGTGTAATTTGAGCTATTGATATTATTCCTCTGAATTAATTTTATCTGCTGAATTCTGAAATTTAATGCCCACATGGCTCAGAAACCATGATAAATTTCTTTATCCTTACTAACCACGTTTATGATCTAGTATGTACATGTATGCAAACATATGATCTATTTGATGATTTAATTAATGTTTATTTGCTACTAGAAACGTGCATTGGTATTTTTAATTATTATATTTATATTAATTAACTGATAATTATGTCCTCATGTGAAATCTCGGCCAGTTCCGGTTTCCAGCATAGTGAGACAATTAAAAAGGAATGAAGTGTATATTCATATACCTAATCCTTACTAAGTTGATTTTCACCTCATGGTGATATTAGCTTGATAAATCACTGTCTTGCTTTAATTTAGATTTAGTCCAGATAATTCTGAAAATGGTTTAAGAGCTTGAAAAGTGAATAACACAGTGAGGCTGAATTTAATATTCACACTGTCAGAAAAGAAGAAGAAAGATGTATGGCCCATGCTTGTAATTATTATTGTTGTAGATATATTTCCCTATTACTAGGAATACATTTCAGTTTTACAGCAGGTGGCCTTACAAATGTAATAATTATATTTCACCCCTCACCACTTCTAAACTCTGCTGAATAAGATTAGCACATGTGTGGATTTAGATTTAAACTGGAGTGAGTGTTGTATATTTTATGTTAATACTGTGACAGATGGAAAGCTCATTGTCATCTATGATTGTATTTTGACATCTATCCCAGCACCCAGTATATTGATGGAGATATGTCAATCCCATTTATTTTCAAACAGTGCAAAGCACCTGTTATGAGTTCCTGGTCTTGGTAAACTCACTCCCTGCTTCTCATTCATTGTGATGTGAACCCATGTGGTTAAAATGAGAATATTGTGAAATATGACTGTGTATGTCTGTGTGTGTAAGCATGTTAACCCTTCAAAGGAGTACTAGTGTGCAGACATCAGAACAATTTACACTGAGGAAGGTCCTTTCTTTTTGTGTGATGTAAACTCTTGTTCTTGAGAGTATTCATGAAACTGGTTTCCTAAATATTTCCCCATCAGGATTATGGACCATGTTCTGTATACATTCCCATTCTATACCAGTAGAATGTGAACACCTGTTACTATCCTACTCCATATATATGTGTGTAGTGTAACAGTTTAAAGACTGGAGGTATTGTTGTCTCCAGTTAGAACCTTCCTGACTGTTTGTATAAGGACTGTTCTAGTGTTCTAGTTCCAGATGTAAATCCTAAGCTTAGCTGCAGATACCCGATTGTCTTGACTGGACTGGAAGATTCGGCCTGCCTGATGTGTCACCAAGGCTTAGCCAGAAGCTGACCTAAGCTACAGCTAAGTGGGCAAAGTTGACCACTAACCTTTATAACCGGATTATATCCACAGCCATTTAGTTATCATTTGAATTTATATTGATTTGAAAATCCTAATAAATGTTAGTTTTAATGTTCCTACAGTTTTATGGAGTTTCCTTTTAACTGTAAACATTGTCAGTGAACTTAAGAACATTTAAATATACAATCTTAATTACAGTAGGGAATAAGATGTGGGCAAACCCCAAATCCTCTAATTTAACCAGCAAGGCTGGGGGTAACATAAACCTTTATTAAGATTTAATGTTTGTAGTCCACGCATGCAGTTCCACTGATAACCTGGTCGTCAGCATACTTAAGGTTGTAATAAGGGGCTGCTTTAATTTTGAAAATATATATATGCAAACGCAAACTTTAGAGAAAACAATACTAAAGTTTCTGTACACTGTTAGGGGGGGGGGGGGGAGGAGGGTTATATTTCTTACACAATACGGAGGGGTGTGGGGATTGGGGTGATGGGGGTGGGGGGGAGTTCGTCTCAGAGTGCCTTAACTCACCCGTTCCGACGTCCCGGTAACTGAGTGTATAGAAGCAGACATTTACTGCCCATAAAAACAAGAGTAATTTGTGAATATCTGGCATACAAAAGCCAGCGCCCAGAGAAAGCCAGAACAATGGCGCTGTGTGCGTTAGAATGCGAACGTGTAAACAATATGATTAATTGCTAAAGCCAGCCCGCTGTAATGTGGCCAGAATGGATCAATATGCTAGAGAAATGATGAGGGCATGTGGCTAATGTAACCTACATCTCCACTACAGGTGTGGGTCGGTTGTAGAGGCTGTCGGGGTGAAATGTGAGATTAACAGGGATGTCCTGAGATGACTGTTCGATTATTTGTGCATTTAAAAATGATTTTAGAATAGCCTCAAGTCGTTAGAGCATTTAATCTGTGAAACGCATAAGATCAAGATAAGAAGAGGAGAAAATCAAAATCAAGTCGGTGTGGTCACACGCAGGAATAGTACACAGCCTACAATACAAAATATCGACACTAAGCACTTCACGAATAGCTGCCCTAAAGTTTATCTTTGTGCCAGGATATGTCGGTGTTCACGGGAACAAGCGTGCTGACTATCTTGCTGACACTGGGGTTGTTATGGCTGGTTGAGTACTGGACAGAAGTGATGTTATCAATGCCATGCGCTGTACTTACCGTTCCGAGGAGCACGCCAAAGGACATGACTCCATATGCCTGTCTGGACTGATGGGCATGGGAGTGCAGCCTAAAGCTGCAAGTGATGAACATTTCACCAAGGGAACAAGACGTTTCATTAACCAACACAGAAGAGGCGTCATCAGTCGTTTTACACTTGTTGAGCTTTTGAGGAGGAGATGGAGCACCTATAGATCTGTACAGAGTGCTGTGAGGATAATACTTTCTAATGACTAATCACAAATCACTTTTTTTTCTTCTTCTTCTCTTCCACCTTGTACCTCAGCGAAGTGTCAGGGGGAGGGGGAAGGGGGGGGGCGCTAATCACTACAATACCATATAGCGCCACTTTTGAGACTCTAGATTATCAAAATGCACACAAACAAGCGGCTGACAAATGCCCTACTGGTACCAGCTTTGTGTTTTTTCATGCCGAATATGAACAGTCCAAGAAAGATAGAGACGCAAAACTACAACATGTGCTACAAAATGTGACAGAAATGAGGCGGGCAAAGCAAGAAGAGACAGCGTTTTTAATTAAAGAACGAAGAACAATAGTAGATATAGTGCCGATAAATGGTTTCATAGGACTTTGGTTATGTGGTCAGAATGGAACAAAATCAGCCAGCAGGTAAAATGTGCTACTTGAGAACAGCAGGCTACAAGTCTAGAGGCCGATCTAGAAAGCGATGGATGGGGGGAGTAAATGAAACACTAAAGAAACGCAATATGACAATAATGCAAGCTACACAGCTAACACATAAGACATTCAAACTACATCTAAATCCTTTATGCGACTCTTTACGGCATAAACAATAGTACACAAGAAAAAGAAGAAGAAAAAGAAGTTAGGAAAGAAATAAAGACAGGAGGAAGGAGGGAGAAGTGGTTGAATTGAAGGGAAATAGTAATAGAGAGGATATTTAATACGGTTTATGCGAATATTAACTGTGCACTTTGGATCCGTTTATAGGTGCTCATAGTCCCCACTCAGCGTGTAAATCAGCCTCTCGTGGGTAACAGTACCACTCAGATGCTTGTTGACAAGACTTACTATAATCCGTCTGTTTCTCATGTCTGTCTGTATCTTATTACTTGTTTTAATTGACAGCCATATAACTTGGAGTTTCCATGTTCGGGCCATGGAAAAAAGCACATACAAGTTTCTCAAATGCAGCACTTTCTGACCGAAAATAAACGTAAAATATTTTACGCATCCTACATTCAAACGCTAGTGACTATTATTTCACAATTGGGATGGTTGCTCCAAATCTAATGTCAGACGACTGTGTTCTCTATCAAATCGGGCCTTACGCCTAGTCTTCGATAGAAACTACGTCGACAGAATCTCTTGTACTGACACCTAAGACTTCTGCAATTTAGTAAACTTTTAATGTTTAATAAGGCCAAATTCAATCACAGAATCGTATCTCAAAATGCTCGAAAGTACATTTTTTGATTTATTGAATTGATTCCTACAAATAGCAAGCGACTTTGTTTATTACATTTACCTAAACCTAGAGTTGATTTATTTAAAACTAGTTAAGCAAATTCTGCTGCCTATTTATGGAACTATCTTCCACTCGATCTGAAAACTATAAAGGGTCCCTACTCATTTATCCGCAAATTTTTAGTTTCATGATAACCAGTCACTTTATGCCACAATAAATGTAGTTAATAATTCATATCGCATTAGCAATTTATAAATAAATAAGGCGTGTTAAATGTATGTATGCGTTTATGTGTGATACATAAATGTGTGATATGTTTGCATGTCTAGGCGTGTTTGAATCTGTAAAACTGTGTGATGTATGAGTGTTTGTATGGGTGATTGTATAAGTTCGTATGTGTGTATGTGTCGGTGTGGTGTCTGCGTGTGTGTTTGTGTGTGTCTGTGGGTATAACTAAGTGTGTGTCTGAATGTGATATTACTGCATACGGAACATTCAAACACTAGCTGTTTCTTTCTCTCTTTCTGTTTCTTTCTCTCTTTCTCTCTCTCGCTCTCTCTCTCTCTCTCTCTTTCTCTCTCTTTATATATATATATATATATATATATATATATATATATATATATATATATACATATATAAAGAGAGAGAAAGATATATATATATATATATCTTCGACCTTAATGGCTGTCGAACTTCTTATTCATCTTCTTCTTCTTCTTCTTCTTCTTCTTCTTCTTCTTCTTCTTCTTCTTCTTCTTCTTCTTCTTCTTCTTCTTCTTCTTCTTCTTCTTCTTCTTCTTCTTCTTCTTCTTCTTCTTCTTCTTCTTCTTCTTCTTCTTCTTCTTCTTCTTCTTCTTCTTCTTCTTTCTTCTTTCTTCTTCTTTCTTCTTTCTTCTTTCTTCTTTCTTCTTCTTTCTTTCTTCTTTCTTTCTTCTTCCTGCCTTCTTCCTGCCTTCTTCCTGCCTTCTTCCTGCCTTCTTCCTGCCTTCTTCCTGCCTTCTTCCTGCCTTCTTCCTGCCTTCTTCCTGCCTTCTTCCTTCCTTCTTCCTTCCTCCCTTCTTCCTTCCTTCTTCCTTCCTTCTTCCTTCCTCCCTTCTTCCTTCCTTCTTCCTTCCTTCTTCCTTCCTTCTTCCTTCCTTCCTTCTTCCTTCCTTCTTCATTCCTTCTTCCTTCCTTCTTCCTTCCTTCTTCCTTCTTTCCTTCTTCCTTCCTTCTTCCTTCCTTCTTCCTTCCTTCTTCCTTCCTTCCTTCTTCCGTCCTTCCTTCTTCCTTCCTTCCTTCCTTCTTCCTTCCTTCTTCCTTCCTTCTTCCTTCCTTCTTCCTTCCTTCTTCCTCCCTTCTTCCTTCCTTCTTCCTTCCTTCTTCCTCCCTTCTTCCTCCCTTCTTCCTCCCTTCTTCCTCCCTTCTTCTTCCCTTTTTCTTCCTCCCTTCTTCTTCCCTTCTTCTTCCTTCTTCTTCTTCTTCTTCTTCTTCCTATTTATTTGATGTAACCTCCAGTATAATTTTTTTTCAACTTCTGGACTTCGGCCTAGTCAATAAGTCACATTTTACGGCATGCTTGTTAGGAGTAGTTGGTCTGTCCTCCCCCTACCCACCCACCCCACCCCCACCCACCCCTCCTCCCTCCCCCAAAGAAGAAGATAAAGTTACACCTGTGATTCCTCCTTCCCATGTCTCATTGACTAGAACCTATGCTCCGCAGGGAGAGATAAATGTCATAAGAGGAGAAATGTGTAACAATTAATGTATTCATTACCACAAGTTTATTACGACAGTTGTGACTTTTCACCTAAAAGAACCATTCATGTTTTAGGAAATCCATTTGCATAAAACTTGCGTGCAATTTCAGCGATAGTGTTCGGTTTCCATGGTATCGTCAGGGGACGACACTCTGGTTAAAGTAAATTGTAAACATTGATTTTCTGCAGTACTTGACGGTAAAGAATTTTTCCCTTTGTTATGTCTGTCTGTCTAACTCTTTCTTTCTTTCTATCTTTCTTTCTTTCTTTCTTTCTTTCTTTCTTTCTTTCTTTCTTTCTTTCTTTCTTTCTTTCTTTCTTTTTTTCTTTTTTTCTTTCTGTCTATTTTTTTTCTTTCTTTCTTGATTTCTGATTTTTTCTGTTAGTGATTCCTTTTTCTGAATGTCGGTGTCTCGTGAACATTAATTCTCTCCTTCTATTTGTAACTTTTATTTTAGGAATGAACATGTTAAACTGTTGGCAGGTGCTTATTCTAACAGAACAATAGGTAATGTATTGGACATTGTTGCGAGTGCCTGGAAATCCGTGCTCTGTTTGTTCCCCTCCCCCCACACCCCTCCCACTTTCCGTATCTCTCGTGGGTCTTCTTATTGGTTATATTCTTGTTTACTGTTCTTCGTTTTTTGTCTCCTTCTTCTCATCCTACTTTACCAGCTTTTCTCACTTCTGCTTCTTCTTCATCCATTTCTTTTCTTCCTACCCCTCCTTTTCCCCCTTCTTCCTCTCCTTCTCTGATTTGTATTGGTTTTTTTTTTTTAGTATTGGTAAAGTTGCTGCTCTTTCTGAATGATATGAGGTGAAGTTCCCTTTTCCACGCCTCTAGGTGTATAGAGCATATAGGGTTAAACCAATCGGCACAAGATGGATAGATATGGTCCGCATTACGCCGGCCGCTTTTACTTCCCGGGACTGCATGCTTTACCCACTCAATGCTGAATCGACCTTTTAGTCCAGGTCTTTTTTTTTTTTTTTTGGAAAAAGTCCGGCTCCGCCAGGGAACAAACCCATGACCTTCCGATCTGCACGCTAGCGTCCAGCGGCTACGCCACGGCGATCTCCTTCTGAATTGTATACAGATCAGTAAATAGTCTGAGAACTAAAGAAAGCCGGTGTGGCAATGAGACGACTAGACCGTCCATCTAGTGCAATGTTTTTTTTTTTTTTTTTAAATATTATGACGAAGACACAATATATGGGCTGCTTAGTGTATGGGGACAAACTGTTTTCTACACCTACAACACTAGAGATGAAAGTTAAAATAGAAAGGAGAAAGCAAACAGGGCTACCTGGGTATAACTTGCTAAAGAAGCCTGTCCTATAGGGATCACGTAGAGGCAGTTGCGGTGAAATGCCAAACAGGACTCAATGTTCTCGAGATTATGACTGCAATAAGCATGAAACAAAGAATTATGTTCACAATGCTCCAGCATGTGATCTTGTCAGTGACAAATTTTGGACTTGGAATGCTTACCATATCAAAGAGTCACCTGATTAAATTTGAACGCACATAACATAAGGCTATGCTGGTAATTCTGAGACGCTCTGGTAGTATGTATGCGATATATACTTGCACTGCCTACTATTGCAGATAGGCTGAAAGTTCCTTGAGCAAAGCTATATCTCAGAGTAGCTGCAGACAAGAAGCACCTACTGCATTATGCCCTGGATGGAACTAAGGGTCACAGACTGAAAATTAGAAGGTCTTGGATGGCACACGCTAAAGACACAATCAGACTTGTGCAGGCTTGATAAATTTTTGCTTGGAGAGGAGTGGGTCAAAGTGTCCTAGCAAGTTTCAGATTTGTTTTATGTTCAAATAATTATAGGTCTTTCGTGCATGTACTGGCCAGCTGGTGCTGCAGAATCGTATGTTCATCAAATGATTTGTTATAATGTCATCCTAAGTGATGTGATTATCTATACATATAACTTCGTGTTGAGAGGCAGACAAAGTGCATGGGGTTTTTAGCAAATGGGCGTCGCTTAGTGCAACAAAGCCTTGCATATGATATTATAAAGTCTAGTTTGAGAATGGAGGTTTAGGGTGTCACCTGCTGCCTTCCGCTGGCTTGAGAATCAACTGTACACACGTGATGTGATTGTAACTGACTCACGGAGCATGTTGAGAAAGATGGAGACAGACGTGCTCCACGCAGTGTAGCAAGCACCACTACAGAGGTCCGGGTAGTTAGCATCCTTAGGATGCCTAAATGTATAATACAAGTCAAAGGCGTTATTTTAGGTCAGGTACATAAATTTAAGTGTCTAGGCTCAAGGATAACAACTGATGGAAGATGTATCACAGAGATAAAGAACAGAATAGGACAAGCCAAAACTGAATTTTATAAAATGAAGAACATGATGTGCAATAGGTCAATGTCATTGCAGATAAGGACAAGAATTTTCGTATGCTATATAAAGCCATATTTAACATACGGCTGTGAAGCCTGAACAAATAATTATACAAACCGAACAATATCTTGAAGCCTTGTAGATCTGGCTTTACAGAAGAATCCATAGAATACATTGCACAGCTAAGATGATCAAAGAGACAGTCATCATTTTTTTGGGTCATGTATGTTATGAGCAAAGGGAAAATAGAACATATTGGGACCAGCGCGAATATATGCAGAAAGAGAGACAGAGGAAGACAGCGTTGCAAGATTCTTGACAGTCTTTGGTTATGGCATGGAGGGGGTGTCAACACGAAATGATACACGCAGTTGCGGATCGCGGATTGGGGAGAGGCATGACAGCCGACGCTAGTCCGCAACACATTTGATGATGACGATAACGATGATGATGATGATAATGATTGTGTGTGTGTGTGTGTGTGTGTTAGTGTACACATACACACTACTCTATGTCACCAAGATACCACCTTCTCTTTATCAATTGATCTATCCTCTGTCTGTCTGTCTGTCTGTCTGTCTGTCTGTCTGTCTGTCTGTCTGTCTGTCTGTCTGTCTGTCTGTCTGTCTGTCTGTCTGTCTGTCTGTCTGTCTGTCTGTCTGTCTGTCTGTCTGTCTGTCTGTCTGTCTGTCTGTCTGTCTGTCTGTCTGTCTGTCTGTCTGTCTGTCTGTCTGTCGGTCTGTCTGTCTGTCTGTCTGTCTGTCTGTCTGTCCTGATCTGATCTGATCTGATCTATCCGTCCGTCCGTCCGTCCGCCTGTCTGTCTGTCTGTCTGTCCGTCCGTCCGTCTGTCTGTCTGTCTGTCTGTCTGTCTGTCTGTCTGTCTGTCTGTCTGTCTGTCTGTCTGTCTGTCTGTCGCCGTGCCTGGCTGCCTGCCTGTCCGTCCGCCGTCTCTTACACAGATACAAACATATGCACACAGAAATATATAAATATTCACACTTATACAGGCATACTCTCTTCCTCAAATTATCCCCCCCCCCCCTTTTTTCCCCCCACACACCCACCAAGTAGCAATAATTCGTATAACCCAGATTGGGGGAAACCGTTACAATCCTTCAAGCAGAGAAGATAATCCTCACATTGGTGATCGACTTTCTCTTGTCATAGATGACATGGACAACATGGTGGTTTGGTGCCTTTGCCTGTCGTTTCTGTACGACATGTGTAGTTAAAGGATCATCCGGTGTACGAGTGAGACGCTGAGAGAGAGAGAGAGAGAGAGAGAGAGAGAGAGAGAGAGAGAGAGAGAGAGAGAGAGAGAGAGAGAGAGAGAGTAAGAGGGAGAGAGAAAGAGAGAGAGATAGTGAGAGAGAGGAACTGGGGCAGGCGTGTGGTGATAAAGATATAATAGTGTAGTGAGAGAGAGATATGGAGATAAATGACAGACAGACAGACAGACAGACAGACAGACAGACAGACAGACCAGACCAGACCAGACCAGACCAGACCAGACCAGACCAGACCAGACCAGACCAGACCAGACCAGACCAGAGCAGAGCAGACCAGACCAGACCAGACCAGACCAGACCAGACCAGACCAGAGCAGACATTCTCGCACCGAGATGCACAGGCAGATACACACAGAGACAATGGAGAATTAGGAGAAAAGCCAGGTTGAAAAGAGGACGGTGGACGAGAAGATGATAGCGGGGAAAACTTAGGGAAATGTAGTGACGGATAAGCAGTATACTTCAAATGTAGGCTAGTTAGGGAAATCGAGTAGAAAGGACGCACTTGATGTATCTAATAATTGAAATGATTCAGAAAGCATGCTGAGGAAGATCAGAACAGGTGTGCTTCATGCAGAGTGGCATGCTTCGCTGCGGTGGACACGGGTGAGAAGTACTGTCTGGATTTTTTCACCGGGGCAAGCCGGTATGTTGGGAAATTAATAGTCTCTGTTCTGGCTGGCTGGCTGGCTCTGCACAACTTAATGGAATACTGACAGATGATAAGGCAGACGTGGTTAGTGCCTTGTGGGAGAGCGTGTACAGTTCGGAGGAGCAGATGCATCACCACAGTCTGGTGAGATTGATGCAGCGGGGAGTGACGAGAGGTTCAGGCAGATCCTCGAGGCTCAGACGAAAGGCAAGACGGATGTTCAATCAGAATGCTACTGGCACCATTATTATCGGAACTCTTCGCTGGCTGCTGGAGATAGGGACGGAGCGCTTATGGGAATGCCCTGAGTGCTGTGGTGTTGGTTCTTGAATCAAATCAAATCAAATCATAATTGAAAAGAAACAATGGTAAGTTAGTTGCGCATCCTTTACAGGACTTTGTAGAAACAACTCCAGCATTTTTTGGCTGTTGTGATTTTCTAGACATAATAACGTCCAATAGTTTGCCATTTCTTTCTTCAAGGTCGGATTCTCGGTACCACTGTCGAGACCAAAGCAAGTCGCAAGACCCGCAGCTGGGATCGAACCCGGCACTCCCGCAATAGAAAGCGCGTTCACAACGCCTAAATCACAGACGCTGCCAAACGGTGATAGGAAGAACGAATAAGAAAGACAAACGACAACGCGGAATGAATGCGAAAGCTGGATAAATCCAGTGAAAAGGAGATAGCAAAGAA